TCTTCCCAGAGCTGATTCCCAAAGATAGGCAGTCAAGAATGTGTGTGGAGAAACTTAGCATCTGTAAATTCAATATATTTTTTTTGAGTGAAAAGCTTTCCTGTCAGCCCTACACCTGACAGCATCTCATTCTACCAGCATGGGTGCTGCATGTAAGTAGAGCGGCACCATTCTGAAAGGGACAAGCTGGAAGTACACGTGAAGTTATGCAGCATAAAGCCCTGTAAGTCCCATGCAGGGCAGAATGTTGTCGACACCGGTGTGGGTTTGTATCAGCATAGACTGGGGACAGAAGTGAGAAATGGAGTGTGCCCAAGAGTCTTCAGAGCTATTATGTACCCAGACTTGGTCCTACAGGGATGCCTATTGCTCTTGCTCATGGTGATCATTCAGATGTATGTATGTCATTATCATTAAGATCAGCCAAGAGGCTTCTGCTAACTAATGATGCCCAGATTTGGGCCCCAGAGGAGCCGGGGGCATATGGAGATTGATTTCTTCTGCCAAAACCTTAATCAGAAAGTCACTTGTCTAGGTGGTAATGTGTGAACTGCTCAATTAATAGAATTATTCTTTATGACAAAGCATGTGCACATTATAAAAAGAAAGCAGGAGTATCAAAAGATCAAGTGAACAGTCTTCTAGAGTCACCACATAATTTGCTACAGAGCTACAGCAACAGACAGCAAGGACATAAGGACCAGGCTTTGAACTTACCAGTGGCCAGGCTTTGAAGACCCCTTAGTCAGCAGGGGGCAAGCCACTGCACAACTCTAAATAGGATTTCATACGAGAAAAAAAATAGCACATAATGCCAAGTTTTTCTTGACAGTGCTAGTCCAGAAAACCAGCGTAATATCCCTGCGCCTTTACAGTTCAGGGAGTCCCACGATGACTGGCTAGGCAGATTAAGAAGTTCTTTGGCAACACAGACTGAATGGACGGTCTCCTTCACCATAGGCATAAATATATTATAAACATAAATCCTTGCTGACCGAACAGGAAGAGCCTAGAGTATTCAGCAAGTTAAGCCATTTGCTTCCAGGCAGAATAAACCTAGTGCATCCAAATCAGATGTCGATCCATTTTCCCTTAAGAAAGGGAAGTCCACAGCGTCCCTGAGAACCTCATTCCATTCCGTTTCACTCCCTCATTGAGGATGGGAGAATAGAGTCCCCAGCTGCAATAGGTAACCCCATAAGTTAGGAGGTAGATATTCAATACCTTTTCTTCTATTTAGCATTTCCATTTACTTGTCTCACAACTGCCCTTATACAACCCTTAAATCATCTTCTCTTTGCCTCCAATAGTTTGCTAGGTTTTCCCCACGCAGCTCCAGCCCACCTCCTTTAATACAGTGACCACAGAGCCTGGAGCTGGAAGGGGTGTTCACGATCATTTACTCTAACAACCACATTTATAGACGAGAAACCAGGGCCCTACCTATTAGGCGCTTTTAGGAATTTGATAACTGCAGTCATAGATAAAACTCTCAAAAGCTGCTCTGTGGCTCCTCTGGCCTCTCTGGATTTTCTGCCTCAACTCAGTGACAAAATTCATCTCAGAAGCTATTCTGACAATGAGAATCTTATCATCTGCAAATTCAATCATTTTTTTTTTAAGTTAAAAAGCTTTTTCTTATGTGCCACACATGACAGCACTCTGTCCTACTAGCACGGGTGCAGACTTCTATTCCTCTCAAAAGCCCAGGCCGCAGAGTTCGGCGTATAAGTCATGTTTTTCTGAGGCCCCAGCGAGCCCCACAACCAGGCTGCATACAGACAAGATGTGGCATTCCAGAGGGGCTATCCTCAAAGCTTCTCAGAAAATGTGATTCGGTGAAGAAAAGGAATTTTGTTAATGGTGACCCATTAAATGCTTATGACAGAGATATAACTTCTCTCATTCAAATAGTTTTTTTCACAAGCAGTATCATGTCCTTGAGTTAAATCATACTGTATGGTCTCTCTTCTGTGTTGTACATTTGAACAGAACGCAAACACAATAGCTCAAGGAGAGTTCCTAAACCAGAGAGTTTATATTGTGTGAGAGATACCTACAGTCACATGCACCTCCATGGAACCCCAAATTTATTAATGCCTTTGGGAACATGGTACCATGCTCAGAGCAATGTATAAATGTCAAAAAAAAAAAAGGAAATGTGTATTTAATCAAATACTGCCCATATACTGATCTCAGAGGATCAATACCTTAAAACAAAGCAAGCAAAGAGTCTAACATCAATTCATTATAATGTTCCTCCTACTTCCTTTTCATTTTAAGTGAAATTCTCTGGAAAACATTCATAAATGGAAATATCTGTGTGCCTACAGCAGGAAAACGCCTACTCATATAGAAAAAAAATTTTTTTTAAATATCTGCCTTACCTGGAGGAATTTCAGAGGCTTTGGGAGAGGAACCACTAACCAAGTAAATGTGACAAATTTGATGGATAATTCATTCCTTCACTGGAGAAAGTTTTGTGGCCAGGCTCAGCTCTAGGCAATGGGGGATGTGGTCATAAACAAAACAAACCCTACACTCATGGTGCTCGCATTCTAACCAGGCAAGAGGCGGTACAGACAGGCAAGCCAAGAATATGTAATATCTTAGGTGTTGATAGGTGATGTGGAGAAAATAATATAAGCCAAACACAAATAAGGCACACTGGAGACAGACAGACAGTTGCTGTTTTTCAGAGAGAGTGGCCAGGGAAGTGATAAGGTGACACTGAGCAGAGACCTGAAGAAACGAAAAAAAGGGAGCCATGCCAGTACCTGGGGGAAAGACATTCCACGCAGAGGGAACAGCACATGCAAAGGTCCAAAGTGGGAAGCACATCAGAGAGGCCAAGTGAGGCCAGAGGGAAATGACTAGGGGTCAAAGTGAGAGGAGATGAGGACAAAGATGGAGCAGATCATGTCGGACTTTGGAGGTCACAGGAAGGACTTTTACTTTTCTGTTTCAAGAACTGGGAAAACACTTGAAGGGCTTCATCAGAGGTATGGCAGTACCTGACTTTTAAAGCATCGTTTTGGCTGTGTGGGCAGACATAAGACAGGGAGCAGGCAGAGCCATCATTTGGGAGGCTACTGCAGAGCCCAGGTGATGGTGGCTTAAATCGGGTGGTAGCAATGAAAGCTAACAAACTTGTGCAGATGTTGTGTATCATTTGAAGGTGAGGCTAACAAGACCAGCTCCACTAGGAAGGAGAACTAATGCCTGACATTATCTTAGGAGAGTTTGGCCCTTTTGTCGTTTGACTTGGTTCCCTAGCTGTTGTAGCACTTACAGCTCATGTTAGTTGTTTGAGCCTCAGGGTGAACAAGTTTCTGATTCTTGCCTGAAAACACATTTGGATAGCAAAGAGAAGCAGCAGGAAATGTGCAGCAACTGAGAGGAGGCAGGAAGAATAAAAAATCGGTAGAACAGTATAAAAAATTCTTGAGTCCTTTTATTTACACATTTGTTATCGTGCCTCCAACTTTGGTATTCCTTGAGGGAGGGGAGAGGGGAGAAAAGAACACGACTGGAAAGAAAGCAGGACAGCATGATGTGGCAACAATGGACTGCAGTATTAAGTCAAAGACCAAGTGGAATTTCTTTTAAGGTAATTAAGTTGTATCGTGGGTGACAGAAAGGTACCTGCCATATTTTCTCTTTCCTTGAATCTTGTCTCACAAGAAATGAATCACTGAATGAAGAAGTCTTTGCTTTCCTAAGTTCTAACTCCACATTTGGAAATGAAATCTTGGGTTTGTCGATTTTTATCCAACACCATAATACGTAAGATTTCCTCTTAAATCTCCTGGTAACAGTTTAGACCATTACTTTGGTCATAAAGGGGAAACACCACCTGAGAATTTAGCCTGTGTTAATTAATAATGGGTTCTCTGTCTTCCACTCAGAAATCTCTGACATAGCAAGGCTACCAAACCAGTGGCTAAGAGTGTCATATCTGCCCAGACAACATACATTAATCAACACATGCACTTCTGGGATGGGATCAAGGGACCCTAGCATAAGTAAATTGAGGTGATGAGTAAAAAAAAACAGGTCCAATGACAAAGCAGGAGGTCAAGGCAACATGGTATTCCATGATCATCGCATTAAAATATCTAAACAAGCAGACATGCTGGGAAACATTATTTGGGGTCATCAGAAACAAGGAAATGGAACAGATGGGAACAGAATGGAATGTCTGTTCTGTTTAAGTGTTTGTTTTATTTTTTTCCAAGTCTGATCTATTACACAGTTATAGTAACACACTGATTCTCAGGAACCAAGGCTCAGCCACTAAATTGACTAAGAGACTTGGCATCCATGAGAATCTCTTAAATAAATATGTTTAGCATTGACTGAGGACCCAGTTACCTGAAAAAATAGGGTAATTTTCTCCGAAGCCTGACCAGTCTGTGCATTACTGGTGCAAGAAAAACGAATTTCACGGTGCGACACAAAGCTGTCACTCAGCTACGTTGATCTCTAGAGCTTCACCAAGCTTGTGGAGCAAAACATGCCTTTTCATGGGTGTGAACAGCCCTTCTGTAATCAATGGTGGAACTTATTAAGTCTTTTTCAGTTATCTTCAGTTTTTACCATAAATAGCAAAAAGCACCACCTTAGCCCAGAGTAACTAACAGCAGCTACTCACCCCCACTCCCAGGAAAGCCAAAAATAAGCCTGCACGTATCTTATTTCTGACAGAAAGGGTGATTATAGAAATCTGCTTAACCGCACTTAAGAAAATAGGCTAAACTTATGCCATTAAAAATCTCGTAAGAATTTCAACAGAATAATAGCAAAAGCTCATCAAAAACACACAAGCAAAAATGACATTATTTCTCTCTTCCACATATTTTACTGCCTTGGGGAATAACAGATGGGCTAATACAGGAGGCATATGTGAAATATTTATGAAAGGCAAAGTAATTGAGACAGTAAACTCATAAAATAGTAATTTCCTCTACTATATTCAGCAGCATGAACAAAAACGAGAATATCTTTTACATAATAAAATGAAAGATACAGATGAAACAGGTAATAAGAAGTAGAAAAACACAAGTTCCCTGTTCCCCTCAATACACTAAAGAGTGGTTGGGGCAAAAATAACTGCAGAAAGAGTCTGGGGGGTGTTTAGCTGTTGTTATTTCCTGTAAGAAGAACTTGAATTTGCATTATCTGCCTCTCAAAGAGTTTAGACGGTCTAATGTAGGGTTTTCCCTTTAATATCCCTTTGAAGCAGGTAGGCGATTCCACATTGTTCTGTAAACGTTTATAATGATGTCCACCAGACATACAGACACTGTAATTTGAGGATGTTCTTTGTGGCTTCCTTTGCAGTCCCCGTGCTACATGGTCAAAGTAGACCCAGTTTTTAAGAAATCAGAATGCAGTGAGAAAGCAGATAATAAGCACACACTTAAGAAAAGCGTTACGTCAAGTTCCACAATTGCATGGGGAACATCAGAGCAGGTTTCTGATGCCATCTTTAAAAGTGCAGGTGAAGAAGGGATTAGACTAGTTCAAGGTGGACAGAGAGGAGTGCTGGCACCCTAGTCCCTGGGTCTCCTCGACTTACCCCCATGACACATCATTCCTCTTCAATCTCTGAAAATGAAAAACCTGCACAGAAATAATAAAGTTTGATCCTGGAAAAGATGAAGAGCTTAGTAAAAATGTCAAAAGCAGGATGCCTGCCCTGGGTTGCTTACCGCCCCCGCCAGCTCTGCAGGGGTGGTTGATGGTTGACACTACAATGAGGCTCGAGAAGCAGAAAGGCCCACCTGTTTCAAAACGAGGCTGCTCACATTTGCTCGTTAAAAGATTATTTCCTTCTTGAAACTTTCATCGGTTCCCTCATTCTTGGAAACGCAACCATTCACAAAATCCTTCAGAAAATATGCACACAGTGTCTATTCTATGACCAGCCATAGGGATAGGGATAGAATAACGAAAAGGCTAGTCAGGCCCCCACATAGTTTCTAGTCAAGAGTAAAGACCTAAGATGCTAACCAAAAAAAAAAAAAAAAAGAGCAAGAAAAAAATCAGTTTTACAACTGAGTAATGTGATTGAGAGTAACTGTTGGTTGCTTTAGTTGAGGTGGCCTGATGACAAACAGCCTTTTGCAGGGGGTGACATTTCAGATGTGGATGACAAGGAGGGACTCAGAGAGGGAAGAACATTCCCAGCAGAGACAACGGCTACTGCAAAGGGCCTGAAGTTGAGAAACAGATGTACTGTTTTTGAGGACCGAAGCAAAAAAAAAGGGGGGGGGTAGATGGGGGGTTGGTGGGGGGACATAGAATTAGTTGAATGCAGAAGAACAGGCATGGTCTGTATCAAGCTGGGATTTATAAACCAGAGTAAGGAGAGTACAAAGAGAAGCCACAGGGGGTGTGTAGGTAGGTGACTTACAATTAGATAAAAACTACAGCTCAGTATAAGCATGTGTGCTTAGTATGCACGAGGTCCTGGGTTCAATCACTAGTACCTCCATTAAAACAAACAATCAAAGAAACCTAACTACCACTCCCACCCCCACCCCCAAAGAACAACAAAAAACAAACCTCTGGCTGCTGTGTCGAGAAAGTACTACAGGGAAGCAAGAGTGGGCACAGATACCCTGGTGGTACAACTAATGCAGTAGCCGAGAGAGAGATGATGGTGGCCTGGCCCAGGGCGAGAGATGAAGAGATGGAAGTGGTCGGAGGTGGAGACAGAGTTGACTGGACCTGATGACAGGTTTAATATGGGAGGAGGGACAAAAAAGGAATGAAGCGTCAGCACTGGGTTTGGATATGCTTTGGCCACCTGATTTTGAAATGTCTATAAAGAGCCACACGGAGACGGCCAGGAGACAGCTGGACACAAGGCAGCTGCAGAGAAAGGACATACTGAGTGTCTGGGGGCACTCTTCCCTCTCCTAGGTTTCCAGTGAACTGTGGTTTATCCTTCATTTCACCCTGTTCCTTCTCTTACCTTTCCTAGCCGTGAAGAAGCAATAATCAGACTAAGTATATGAAGAAGCTTTGCAAAGAATACAGCAATGCTCTCACATTTGGAATTATTATCACTATCACCTTCCACTGAGTATCTACCCGGCGCACACTGGGTCTTCACAGTAGAAGGTTCAGGAATCCCAGATTATGCTGTTCCTGCTTCCCCTGCTCCCAAGCCTTTGTAGCTTTTAATAGTCTTGTATCGTAAAGAAATTTGAGCCTCATTCTAAAAAAGATAAAAGGACAAAGTCTTCAAAAGTTAGCATGTCACATGACACACAACTCCACTGTAACCTTAGGCAGCTGCACAGACTTGACTTTATCATTTTCTTACACACACAGACAAGTAATCAGTGCAAAATTGAGAGGTTGGCATCTCCCCAGCGGTGGGTCCGCCAAAAGACTTCAGTGCCCCAGATACAATGAATGCTTCCCACTGAACACCACAGAGCACCAAATTTTATAGTCAGTTTCTCCTTCATGTTTAAAGGAATTCATATGAAAAATGCAATTTTATGGGGCAAGAAAATTTCCACAATCAGGCATGAACACTTTAGCATGAAATTAGTTATCTGATTATTAACTGAGAGCTATGCCTTCAAAGAATGGGACAGCTGACTGCTCAGGGTGATCAGGGCTGAGGTCAAGGCAGCCAAGAGAATTAGCCCCTCCTGGACACAGTAGGTCCAGATGGACCGGCCAAGGGATGGGAGGTCAGCAGCTCCAAATGGTAATGTGAGGCCATCTCTAATTTATTGTCTTGGCCATGGAGTTTCATTCTGTGAAGGACAGGGCTCCTGGATTTTGTTCTCACTCAGTAAAAAGAAAATGGTTTAAGAGCGAAATAGATTTATTTTAATCATCCTTAAATTTCTCATAAAAACAAAACTTTTGTTCAAATAAGAGCTATGAATTGTATCTAGGAAAACAAAGAGCCATAAAAAGAATGAACATACATACCCGTGTTATATTCACACCCTGACACTGTCATCACTATTGCCATTAACAAGAGCATCATCCCTCTGCAGTTCTTAGTAGCCCAGCCTCGCTAGAGTTTTCACTGAGGTTATCCACTTGAACAAAGAAATTACATCAAACCATTCTCTAGAAGGCAATAGAGTTCACAGATGACTCGTGGGACTACAGAGAGTCATTGGCGCCCAGAGAGAACAAAATTGATTATGCTATTGAAAATAGTAATTAATTGAACAATCTTTAAGAAAATTGCAGTGAGTGTTCAATTTTGGATACTGTATTTTAACCAGTTTACAGATTTGCAAAGCTAATTTTAAACCCACGAGTGACTTCTTCCAACAAACCTCACCAAGAGGCATGACATTAGTGGAGGTATGTTCCAGGATAATTTTGAGCAGAGCATATTTAGAAAGTTGACCTACCACAGCATTAAATAACCTAGCATTTTCCAAATCCACGTTAATATGAGTTTAACTTAATTTCAATCAGTGTGCAGGATTACCCGTGCCAGTACCTATGTGGCCCATTTGACTAATGTGGAATTTTCTGTCCTGCTTTGTTTTCCAGCCTCTGCAAGCACATATGTCCCGACGGTGTGTAACGGGCGGGAAGTCCTCGACTCCACCACCTCATCTCTGTGATTGTGGAATGCAGTTCAGTTCTTGTGTTTTTAGATGGTTAGATGAAAGTACTCACGTGCAGCTCCGGAATGTGGAAACAGAGCAAAAGAATACCCCCTAGTACCTTTTTTTAGAAACAGTACAATAAATTATTTTTGAGGACTGTACAGTATATAGTGACGTGCTAGAACTTTTTAGACTGATTTTAGTGTCCCTATTATTAACGATTCCCCAGAACATGGAAATAACCGTTGTTTACAGAGTTGAGCATTGGTGACAGGGTCTGACAGGGTCAGTCTATTAGAAAATACGGTGGCAATATTAGGTAACTTTTTTTCCTATGAAGTTTTTTGTAGGTCCTTGTTGTAACTAACTTAGGATGAGTTTCTATGTTGTATATTAAAGTTACATTATGTGTAACAGATTGTTTTTCTCAGCGCAAAATAAAAAGCATCTGGATTAATGTAACAATATTAAGAATAAAACCTTCAAGGTTTTCCAGCATGGTGGATAATGGCTTATTCTTTTTTAATCACGCCAGGTAATCTGATTCTATTGATTTCAGACCATTTATACTTTTCATGTTGGAAAATATAAACTGTGCTTCTCTTTACATTTAGGTGCATTGAACACAAGTTGTTACCTGGGGAGAGAGTTGTGAGCAGAGCTAGACTTCTTCGCAAATCACATGATCAGAATGCGACTGATGACAGCATAACTATCAGGCCCTTTCAGTGGCCGGATAATAATACTCATGTTGGTTTCTTTAAGCCACATCAGTACAGCAGCCTAGAATTCACCCCAGTAGTGCTCTGTGGCAAGAAGGAGAGGGTTTCTCCATCCCTGCATTCCTCTTAATGCAGAGGCTGACCTGCCAGGGGAAGTTTGACAGCCTTCATTTCCCAAAACGACCTTCATTACTAGCAAGGAGACTGGGAAAGTATCTTGTTATTCCATTGGAAAATCACATTCACTGCTCATAGCTGAATGAGGCAATAAAATTGTAGGTTACCTTCTTTTCCAGTGCTTTTCCAAAGTCCCAAGAACAATGCTTAGGCACAGAGACTTGTCACTAAACCTGAATATTTCACTAACCTAAACAAAGGAGCAAACAGGGAAAGCATGGATAAGCTAAAACTGACTCATTCTTATCAACACTGTCCTACTTCTCCTGGTAAACCCTGAGTCACAGATCATTTATTAATGTAGAAAAATTTACCAGGTCCCACACCAGGTACCACGGACAGAGACTGTACTGGTTTCCTGTAACTGATGGAACAACTGAACACGAACTGGGTGGCTTCACACAACAAAAATGTATTCTCAGTGTTGGCAGGGCTGCACCCTCTTAGCTCTAGGGGAGAATCCGTCCCATTCCTCTTCTAGTTTCCAGTGGTTGTCAACTTTCTGACATCACATCATTCCAATCTCTGCCTCCATCTTCACATCACTTTCTCCTCTGCGTGTCTCTTTCAAGGACATCTGTCATCGCATGTAGGGCCCACCTGGATAATGCAGGATAATCTCATCTCAAGATCCTTAATTACATCTGCAAAGGCCCTCTTTCAAAATAAAGTAATATTAGATGTGTACATATCCTTTGTGGGGGACCACTCTTCAACCCATGATGGAGGAAAAGATGACTGAGATGTAGTTCCTTCCTTTAAGAAGCATCAAGACTGGAAAATATTTTAATGAGGGAACTGTGACTGAGGAACACAGTGAGAGGAAAGAAGAAGAGGATTTGAGGGGCCCACAGGCTAAATACAACCAGGGCCTGCTTAATCAAAACATACAAGTACTATTTTTAAAGCATCCAGAAATAATGAGCAGGTACACAAAAGCCAACAGGACTGGCCTTGAGCGAAGTAAGGCAAGGAATCCTACATTAGGGAGTCTCTTCTTTCTTGCAGATGCACTTGAATTGGCACCCTAATCCATCTATCCAAAACTCACCAGATGCCCAAAGACCACAGTGCAGTCTCTAAACTCTCATATTCAAAGAAAAACCTGGATTTGGGGAGTGGATGGGGCAGATTGGGTAACAGATTCAACAGCACTAGATGGCAAAGAATTCCAATGTACAAAGCTGGCAGGAGTGCCAGATAAGTGTGCTCAGAATGAGCAAGTGCTGAAGATAAAGGCTGAGGCAAGACTGATGGGAGAGAAAATAAACTCAGTTCCCTGATGGAACGTGACAGTCTGAGGAAGGCACTATCAGTTGGACTGTTTAGAGACGCAGCTGATGCCTAAAACAATCAAACTGATCGTGGATCTTTTTAACAAGACAATTAGGCTGTGGGTGAACCTTGAGAAAACTGTTTTTGAGAGCCAGAATTTGATCTATGGCCACGATATTTCACTGCCCGCCTTTACACTGAAGGTGCAATGACTGACAGCTTCCTTCATCTTCCCTACTACAAACCTTGTTTCCTATTCAAAAGCACATCCCCTAACATGTGATCCCCAGAAATCATTTTTTTAAAGAATATAATTTGCAGCACTTGTATGGAAGACAGCAGCTATACAATCTCTTTTTACATAAGCCATTTGACCAAATCGGTTTTGGATTTCTTTTCTTTTCTTTTCTTCTTTTACTCCAGTAACAGCCTTTCATTCTTTCAAAATATAAAACTTGTTGAGCTGATCAATCTTTGCAAAACTGTCCCGAATTTAAGGAACTCAAGTAGAATCATCTATCTTACTCATAAAAAAAAAATCAGAACCTAATGATAAGGCTGATCACTGTTGGATTCTCGAGTATTTACAGTTTCTGAAACACTCTGGGTGTCCTCTCTAGTTTAAATATGAACAGATTCTCTTGCTCACTCAGGTTTCTCCGGGTAAAGTAAAACGGCCCCATTTTTAAGCTGCAAGGCAAGCTGGTTTGCAGAACGCAGAGAGGACAGATGGAGAGAGTGTCTGAAAAAGGAGGTAATTCAGCCCATGTACCTTCACAGCCTTCACCTCCACACCTCCTCTCAGCTTTACTCATGTATCCACCATGACAGTTTTGGGCCTCAGAGCTCTTTAGCAAAGGGCTATAAACATGGAGAAGCCAAGAAAAGCGAGGGGGCCAGGAAGATGGAACACCAGTATGGATTATCACCTTCACAGCCCTAATAACCAAGGCCCAAACCCCTGAAGAAGAAGGAAGTTATTATTCCCATTCTGTGACAGAAAGCTCTGCGTAAGTCCCACTGGTTGGACTCATTTTAATTAACCCAACCAATGGCCGTCTGAAATCAGCCCTCTGAGATAAAGGAAATCTTAGTCTCTTCCAAACTAAATTTACCAATATCCACAAGCTATTTTAGACAGGGCTCTTCATTCAAGAGCCATTAATAAGATGAGGAAAATTCCAGCAAATTAAAAGCCTAACTGGGACATTCTGTTCAAGGAAAATGGAGATCTGTTTCTAGAACCACTAATCATTAAAGGAATCCTTAATGTCTTTTGCAGCTCAGTAAGTCTTAAAATAGGATTTGGTAAAAGAGTATGAACTGAGGTTGTGCACTGCCTGAGCACATGCAATGGACCCTCCAGTGCAGCCAGGGGACCCCCTCCAGGCCTGGGGCTCAAGAATATATATGCTGACACTACTTTTATGCATCAATATACCCTACTCCCACACAGTTACTTGAAATAAAAGGTAAGATTGACTATTATATCCAGTTACCTTAGCAATAAAAGTTATAGAAATGGCAAGGTAAAAAGGCTTTTCAGTCAACCATGCTGGTTTATTTTGAACCAATTCACTTGTTTTAGTTTTATCATTTCCTCTTCAGTATCCATAATCAAGCCCCAGAACTAGAAGAGGAACTCTGAAGTATCTGGCTTTGTCTTTGGTTGGTGATTAAATCCTCCAGGGAGGGTGATGGATTATTCTCTTCTTGATCATCTCTAGTGACCTGAGAAACTTTGAAGGTTTGAGCTTTCAAACGGTAAAGAGATTCTTCCAAATAGTTCCGCTTGTGGGTTTCAGGGACTAAAACCAGTGGTCAGCAAAGCAAGGCTCACAGATCAAATCCTAGCCCAGCATCTGTTTTCATAAAGCCTGTGAGCTAAGAATGCTTCTACATTTTTAAATAGTTGGAGGGGGGTGGAAATAAAAAAAAAAGAGTAACATTTCATGACAAGTGAAATTTACACGAAGCTCACATTTCCATGTACATGAAGTTTTATTACAATGCAGCCATACTCATTCGTTCATATATTGCCTGTGGCTGCTTTCCTGCTACAATGGCAGAGTTAAGGAGCTGCAACAGAGATCACACGTCCTATAAAGCTGAAAATATTTACTATCTGACACATTACAGAAAAATTTGCTGGCCTCTGATAGACAATTGCAATAGTAGTATCAATTAATTTTCAATTATTTGTCCCCATCTTTTACTTATTTTATTATGATCCTAAAATGAACTCAGCTGAAAATATTAAAAAAAAAATCCAGCAAGAGTGTAATCTCTGGCTGGTTATTGTGAAAGTGAACTCCATTTTAGTGTCCAAGGAATAAGTCAGATGTTGGGATGTTTTTTAAGTTTACTCCCCTTGAGACCTTTTCTTTAGAGCAACCTTCATTTAGGACCTGGGTATATAAACCTGAGATAATGTTATTGGTTACCATAAAATAGATGTGAGGCTATGTAAGTCCTCTTACATAGAGAAGAAGTTCTACTCTACATATCTTTTGTGTAAAAAGGTAGATATGACTTTAAACTTGCCAATAAAATCATCTTCCTACCCCAATTCCCAGGAAATTGATTTTCATGAGGAAGAGATAAATGATCTGCATATTAGCCTTCCATTAGGAATGCCCATGAACTACAGGAAGTAGTTCTACTGATAGACATCAGATGACAGTTCACCAGATTTGTCTTCAAGAACTAGAGTCCATCAATGACCAACCACCTGGGAACCTAGAGACCCCAGATGGTAAATGTAAATGACGAGACCCAAGCAATTGTTCCATACAACCATTTAAACCACCTGTTCTCCTCGGGAAGAGTATAATGACAAAAATCTACACCAAAATACTATGGAACATTTTTAATCCTGGAAAGGACTTGATTACTAGTAATCAAAGAGGGGAAAAGTCAACAAGAGTAAAATTCAATCTTCTAAATCAAGTGAACACATATCCAATTGCTCAACATTGTTAAATAGCATGATATAATTTATCCATAGAAGACACCATCTCACTCAGTGGAAAACTGATTTAAGTATGTTTCGACAGAGTGCTAAGAGATACTACAGGTGACAGTTGACTTAATGGAGTATTTAAGGCTTCCAAACTACTTTTAGAAAAATAACAAACAACTTCTTCTACCACTTGTCAAATGTCAATTAAAAGTCATTAGAAATATGATTCATCTGTTTAAGCCGTTCAACATTCCACTGAGCTATGCAAAGGCAAGACATAAAATTAGAGTTTTATAGCCAGGATTGGTCTGAATATTTTCCTCACACTATTCTTTCTGTCATACTTCTTCAGTGCTTGGAATAAAATGACAAACCACTGGGATCCAAAGGAAAAAGTCAGCTTTTTCCAAAAATGGGACTAAGCTAACAAAATCTACTTAATATCTAAAGTTAGAAATAAAATAAATAAATCCTTCAATACCAACTACATTTTCAGAGAGTTCATTAAAATTTAAGGAATTTTTGACATGTCAGAGATTTTAGTCCAGTGACAAGAGAAGAAAGAAGCTACCTGGGAGCAAATCCCAATTATCTCTATAGTTTGAAACATACATGTTGAGCACAGCAAAGATGGAGAGAGAGGTGACAGGTGACATGTGGAAATATCCCAACTCCGTCCAGTCTGTACAACTCTGCCAGGGTTCCTCTGAAAGTGTGCGAAAGGGTGCATTTCAAATGTATTTTCATTCTTCTGCTTAAATTTTGATCAAGATAGGGAAAGGCTCATCAGCACTGCTGGCAGGATAAAAGTGAGCAATGCCAAAATAATTTCTTCGTTAAGATAAAATTCAAGAAATTAAACATGGAAGAGGTCTACGTTATGCAATGCCCTCCCTCAATTTCACAACAAACAATAAAATAAGGGCAACCTCACCTATACTCATGAATCCCACAGTAGTGATTGTACACAAAACAAAAATTCAGCAGTAACAGAATGGTCCAGTGTTTCACTCACCAGCCAAATGAACTCAATTATTTATTTTTCTCCCATTTTCCACAAAACTAAAGACATCACCTGCTGAATCAAAAGTTAGAAGTCATATCTCATTGAAACTCTTGGGGCAAAACATTCAACAAACCCTGCCCATATGCCCTGCCTGTCTCAGCCAATCACCAGTCATTTAAAAAATATGGATTAAGATCCACAAAGATCACTGTTTATTGGAAACAAACCAGAGCACCTTCAATTACCAAAGGCCAGGAAACTCCCCTCTTTCCCAGTTCTAAAACAATTAAGCTTTACACAAAATTGGTCAAACCCAGCTTCATTCAAACTTCTTTCAATAAATAATATTCAAATTGTGCAAATACTAGTATAACCTGTCTGTCACAGGAAATATCACAATTATCTGGAACACTTTTGAGTAAGAACACTTATTTCATAACTACTTACGGTACAACCACATTCTTAGTATGAACACAATTAAACGCAATTTTCTAAAGTTAAGTTCCTGCCTTACTAATATAAAAAGAAAACTTCCATGGAAGCCATAATCCTTAAAGTCTTTAGCAGAAAAATAACCATACAAACTCTGATGCTTTACAAAGGGCAAATGTCCCACTGCTTTTTTCTGAAGACCATGAAATTATCCCAATACTTTTATATGGTCATCTGTACTTATACACAAGCCATCCCACTTTCATCTCATGATTTTGCAAGTGATTTGATAAACAAGCTTTCCCAATCATTCTATATTATACTTCAAGTATTGCATAAATGGTTTCAAGCCATTTGACTTCTGTGATACTGTTAACTTATTTGAATTAATGTAAAGCGTAGTGTAGGCTTCTCCTTTCCCCCTCCTTTTTATTTTTTTTTCAAGAATCCCACTTTCAGTCAAGCCCTTCTTACCAGATCCAACAAGGATGGAATTTCAAAGGCGATTACAAATTTAGATAACCAAGCACATGCTGTCTCTTCATAAAAAATCACTGCTTACTTAGGCTTCTGAAATCAAGAAGGATACCCTATGGAAAAATGAAAAATCTATTGTCTTTCTTTGTTCACCATTTTTAATAGAAAAGATGTTTTAAGGTCTGTCAGGAAAATAAATAATGGGAAAAATAACTGTACCTTAAAAATTTTTTTTCAAATCTTCCCCAAAATATAAACAGAACAAAGACATAAACGGGATTACAATGCATATGCTCACATCTGCCCTCCAAACACACTTTTTATGGAGAAGTTATAAAGAAGAAAAGTTACCCATTAATATATGGCATGCATCAGCAGTGCACTGGTGGGCTTAAACTTGGTTTTGAGTTATGTGTATATACAGATAAATCTCTTCCTGAGTTGAGCTTCGTCTTCAGTTGAGACCCAAACCATCTGCTTTCCTATTTTTGGCAAGATACTTGACCACGTGATAAGGCAATCAAACACTTCAACCTCCTTCCCTTTTCAGCGGCACGGCCCTCCTCTGTGACATCACCAATGTGCCAGATATGAGGACAGGCTCTAAACTACAGTCCTGTAAAAACTAGAGAGCAAGTTTCTTTGTTCAGTAGTCTGAAGGCTATAGCACTGTCTTTTCATATATTTGGAGATCTTGAGGATTTCAGTTGAACAGATTCAAAATGGTCTTCTTTTTCCTATAGAAAAAAAATATTAAAACAAAATCAACTCACTAAAATTTCAGTAAGATTTTAGGATCTTATGTGTCCAGAGTAAGTTTTGGCAATCATTTTAATCCATGTATCTGCCACTTGTAATTAGGATTTTTACATTTACATTTACAGGAGGGTGGCAGACATAACGTAGATAGCATGCCCACCCCGAAGGATGCTGTTGATGTCCAAGATATAAGACACACAATCCAAAACAGAAGCAAATACCAAAAGATGTAGCTGTGATTCTTGTGAAGAAATCACTGAGGCCCTTTCTAAGGGGACATCTGATCCGTAAGGGGAAATAGATGATCTATCCATGCAAATTGTAGACAAAGTAGAACTGACAGTCAACTAAATATTCTCGAGATAATGTAGGCTAAATAACAGTGAAAAAAAAGGACAGCAGAAATAAAGGGATTATCAATCAGACATAAAACCATTCGAGTTCACTGATATGTTTTAGGAACATCTTTAGGGTAGGTGCCTACTAAAGATACTAAAAACTAAAAACGAGTCATCTCAGATAATAAATCAACATTTAATGCCAATACATGATTTGGCATTTGTTACAAAATATATTCAAAAAGTAGCCTCTTAAGATAGACTATTCTTCTTCAAAGGAGAAAAAGAGAAGAGGTGAGCTTTCTCCCAATGTTCTCATTGTTAGACTTGGACAAAGCTTTCTGAAAGCGGCTGGAATGTGCTGCGGTTGGGGGACGGGCTACGCTATTGAAGTGAATAAAGATGAAGAGAATGTGGATTCCTTTAAAAATGAAGGAAATAGGAAGCAGATCAGTCCTGGGCGCAAATGGTTGTGGGTCTGAAGCAGAGAAGTGAAACAAGAAATAGACACCGAGTATCTGTCCGGAAGAATAAGGTTGCTTTTATATATTCTCTCATTTGGGTGGAGAAGTCCAAAACAAAAAAGTTTAGAGCTACACAGTCAGGATTATAGGGGAAAAAAAAAATCACAGTGTGAACGTGATACAATTCCTGCCACCAGGAAGTCCCAGTCAGTCAGTGGTGTGAACTGCACACACTTGTATGTATATATCCCACTCTAGCAGCCATAGAAGCAAAATGTGAACACAGAGGACATGGCAGCTAAAGCCCGAGGAAGCTAAGGGTTTCCAGTATTTTACTTTAAATATTACCGTGAGGATAACCAACAGGTCTCTGCTTCCCCTCCCCACGGAACATGCTGAATCACATCTTCTCAAATCAAAGCCACAAAAATCTCCACTCTCCTTTCTAGATCATGGCTAATACCCTACAGCTCTTTCCTGTAATAACAGTATGAGCTTCCTGATGGCGGGCATTTTGTATCCCCTAAAGTCTAGCCCTGTTTCTACTACACACTGGTGATTATTAAATATTTGAAGTATCATTGGTTATTCCAAAAAAAATAAGGCTGGTAAACGTGAGACTTGAGGCAAGCTCTCCTAGAGCCAGTAAGTTGGGACTGAGATCTACAGGTTGTTCTCCAGGACTTGTCATCTCTGCAGAGGCAGGGAAATGGGATCTGTTGGTGTTCACGCTGTGATTTTTTTCCTATAATCCTGACCATGTAGCCATTCCCACTGCCATCAGTCGATTATTCCATGGAGTGGCCAGACACCACCCAGTCTGCAGCATGCACAAACAGGAAAAGTTGAACCAACTGCCCTGAAGCAGTCTCTCCAAAGACAAAGGGACACAATGGTTTGAGGTCAATTGGGAACTGTAAGGTTTACAAGCCAGCAGAGAGGTCACAGGCACCATCAACCAGTGCTGCCTAACTAAACAGGTCCCATTTGGGGTCCCCAACCATCGTAAATAATAGTTTCTTTCCAGAGGCACCATGTGCACCCTAGGGTGTACTTCTTGTGTAGAAACCAGGCATTAATTTCTCTCCCCAAAATAGTGTGGCTTGTATTTGAACCCCAGGAGTGATCGTAAATGGTCATAATTCAACTGTTTATGGAAACATCCTCGATAGATCACGTAGCCCTTAGACAACTGCAAAGATCTTTTCAAAATAACTCCCCGTGGTTACTCAGACGAGGTTCCTGGAGGGACAACCGACTTGTTATTCATACTCACACTATAGGTAGTTATTCAATTAGAAAAGACAGGACAAAATTTGTCTCTGACTTTAGCTGAAGTAATGAATGACACCACTTCAGCCCCTGAAGGAATTCAGGTCAACATTAACCCCCTGTCTACACACTGTTAGGAACAATATAGTTGCCCTAAATATCCTCCTTGAGGCCCAAGACCAAGTCTGTGCAATCACTGAAATACTCTGTTGAATCCAGATTGTCTTGCTGGACTGTCATCATCCTAAATCAAAAGGATAATGACCACCCGGCTGAGTGTGCTGCTCACCAAGTCCCCCTACTGTGGCCTAGGTAGACAAAAGTGGGAGATACACTGGGTCTTGGTAAATTTTTGAAAATACCTTTTATCCTTTTCCATCTGAATCTTCTAGAGGAAAGAGCTCAGTACCAGTGGAAAGGTCTCAGGCTGAGTGGAGAGGGCAATGGAGGGACTTAAAGAGAAAGCCACCTAACTTCCTAACGTGGATCCTGATGATTCACGGAGTTTGTTCAGCTGTTTGGGCCTGGGACCGTGGTATGACTGAGGTCAATAATACAGGTTGGTCTGATCTTGCTGTTTAGTGTCTTGTTGGTAGTAGATTTATTTAGGTGCTTTATGATGCAAATTGACCAGATATGATTCCAGCCTCAGCTAGTCAGATTAATCAGAGTGGTCAGAGGAGCGGTGTACTAATGGGAAAATTTACCAGAAGCCAAGATGGTGCAGAAAGGAGGACTGGATTTTGTTGGGAGAAAATTCCCCATGGTTCTCTTGCATTTCTGCACAACTTACAAGAGAGACACTGATTGCCCTTTGTTCTGGACTACCTTTTTCAAAGTTCTTTGTATAGAAAGCAGCCTTTGAAGATAGAAATATCGACTCCTTCCAGAACAAAGGGCAGGCTTGCTTACAGTCTTGGAAATAGTGTTTCCGTCTGGAGCAATGAACAGGCATGCTACCTGTTGAGTACAATAACAACAATATCTCCCTTTGGAATAAAGGACGGAGATGCTTACCGCCCATCCCAAAAGATAAAGATTCCCAAAGTTTAAGGTTCCTTTCTGGTAACGCAGCCCACTGTGTGTACAAGAGTCATCTGTTCCATATAGCCCTGTAGGAAGTGAGGCTTTGGAACTGGTATAAATGCTCATGTTCTGGTTAGTGCTTCTGCTGTGAGTGTCAAACTGTCCTTTGTCTCTGACCAGAAGTCTCATGTCTTCTAAGGTATTCATGAAACCATGGCAGGCTCACTTGTCAGCTTGCAAGCAGGGTAAAATCTAGGGCTTGACAATCACTGTACATTCATGATTCCATAGCAATAGTATCCTTCCAAACCACCACACTGAGAAAAATTAATCATTAGTGTAAGGGAAATAGGGCTTATTCATTTTATTTTTAAATACTTCCCTATTACATATTTATGTGCCTAAATTAGGAAATGATTGCTAAAACACTCTCAGTAAATATAATCTTTTGCCACTTGTACTTCCTGCTGAAAATCCTTTGAAATGAATTTTCTCTCTTCTGTTTCATTTTGGTTTTATTCCCGAGTAGGTAAACTGGTAATTTCTCATCTTTTAAGTCAATGGTGAAGAATGTCAATAGAAAGTTTACAAATAATATTTAGGGTTTCATGCTCTCTGTTTGGATACAGTAATCATTTCAAAGCCGGCAAATGTGATGGCATCTCAGAAGGTAATATCTCAACATTTAATATAACTTTCATTTTTCCTATATGAACAATCTTGTTGTGAAATAAAGTATAAATGAATATGAGAACTTTTATTTACCTAAACTTTTTGGATTTTAATATTATATTATCTTTGTGAAAATTCAAATGTTACAAAAATGTATTACTGCAAAGACTAAAGACATCCATTCAATCAAAACTCCCCAAAAGCAGCTACTGTTAGTGGTTCCCCACTCAAACACCAGCAATAGAAATGAGACCATCTGTTGTGTTGTTTACACTTTATCTTGGACCTACTGAGGTATCAATACACTTAGCTACCTCAATCTTTAACAGCTGCACAGGTGCACAGTGATTCCATTATTTTGATATATGGAAATTTCTTATCTAACTCCTTACTGATGGGATTTAAGGCTGTTTCTACTTGGGTTAACCCACAAAAACAATGCCATAGTGAATATTTTTGTATTTACATCCTTATGTACCTCTTAGAGTATTTCTGTTGAATAAATACCCACAGAAATATAGACATGTTGAATGAGAGGGCTTGTGTGAATGCTGCTGTTAGGTTAATATGGCCCTTTATTTACAAATGCACGGTAATACCAGGTTAAAATTCTGCTCTCACCTTTGTTGCCAAGGATTTGAGTTTTCGCAGTAGCGACTGTTTATTGGAATATACAACTTCCTCTTCATTATCTTCTCCTTCCATGATAGCACAACTGTCTGCAGCTGGGAGTTCACACTCTTTTGAGTTAGTTGTCATTACTAATTTGGAATATTTGTACTCCAGTCTAAGTGGTGGTAAATAAATAAACAGATAGAAAAAGTGACTGTTTAATATAACTTAATACTTACTTGGGGTGGTCATACACCAGCTAATTAAATTGTCTTGTAGTACAGTTACTCCACCAACAATTCCCCTCACTCACAGCCATAGCACCACATGTTTTCACTTATGTACCATCAACACACAAATCTTTTCCAGAATTTCAGAGAATCAGTGTAATATGGTTAACTCTATCACTTATTTTATACACTGACTAAATTGTCCAATTATGATGAACTGTTGGAAAACAAAGAGAAAATTTGAGGTCTGGATTCATTTTCTTAGTTTACACATATTTGAAGACTAATTCACTAGGCAGTTTTCAAAACTTTAGTTTGGAAGAATGAGAATATTATAGAGGCAAGTATTTGGTCTTTACTTTTTCTCTAAATCACTTGTTCCTTTCTACTCCCCATCCCTGATATTACAACTGTCCCTAGATAATACAAAAGAGAACGTCCAAAGCCTCATTTTAAAAGAGCCAAAGCACATAACTTATTAATATACCATCAGAGGTTAGGTTCAGTATTCAACTTCAGATTCTTGAAGTCCTGGAGTACGTAAGTGATACTTGCCTGTATACCTGGTCTGTTTCTTTGCAAATATCTACTCACAAGGAATTGAAAAAGGCAAGAAGGCAGCAAGTTGTCATGAAAAGAAAAAGACACAAGGAGAGAATCTGCCTTGCGTTCTCAACTCTGTAGCCGGAAGCCTCTTTTCTTTGTTTTATAACAAATAGGCCTAATTCAATTATCTCTAATGTTCTATGATCTCTGTTGTCAGAAAAATCACCTCTATTTGCTTTCTTTAAGTCCTTCCCTGTAACTCCTTCACTAGGAGAAATTTCTTGTGTCTCCAAGAGAAACTGTTTGGTATAATGATTAAGTCTAAAATTTTCACAACAAAAGAGATCCTTCAGTTCCTATAACAGAGGTTACTTACTTCTGATTCTTTTTCCAGAAGTAGCAAGTGAGGGCCACCAGCAAAACGGCTGTAAAAGCGCCCACACCTGCTCCCACTTTTAGCCAAAAGTCAACTGTTTCACAGGTTGATAACTTTTTCTCAGGCAGAGAAATTCCTTTAATGCACCATTTAGGTTCATTCCATACATATAAGGTTTCCTTTGGAAAACAAAAACACACACAAACACAGATGACATGAGAAATGAGGTTTAGAAGGAGAAAGGCTTTGCTGACCCTTTCTTCACAGTAGGCAAACAGGATTATTCAGCTTTCATCTAACAGAAGCTCCAGAAAGAGATGGAGAAGAGTGAGATTAAGGAGATGAATGAAAAGGCCAAAAAAAAAAAAAAGAGAGAGAGAGAATTTTCAGACCAGAAGGCTTGCTATGTGCTGAAGAGGTTGTTGAATAAAAATGATTCCATCTGGATATCTCATTTGAGCTATTTTCCCCAGACTTCTGATGATCCCTGACTTCTTAATCATGTTTTTAAATAAATGCTTAGGTTGTTTAATATAACTAACTGGAATAGGTTTCATCCACTCATCATGTAGGTCCATGTCCCCCAAAAGCCTCTCGCCTAAGTGGAAGAGCAGACCTTGGACCCAGGACACAGAGGTGCACCATGACTGGCAGGCATGCAGACTGCACCCTCTTCTACAGGCCAAAATCAGCAGGGCGTTATTCTTGGTCACCACCACCCACATGAGGTACTTACTCTCATCCTCCCAATTTGGGGGGGGGGCAATATTTTCAAACATTGCAACTAACAAATGAAGAGTACTGGGTCTCAACCAGCATTTTTTTAAAAATAAGCAGATCAAATAAAACAGATCAGAAACCAAAATCAGAGTACAGTGCATGGTTCCTTAAATATTTCAGTATATACAGTGGGCAGAGGCAATCTGCATGATGATTATACCCACTGACATTACATGACATGAGGCATTACATTTTTTGTTCCTTGTGTCTTATTAAATTTTCTGGTGAATGGTGGTCACTTTATCAACACCCTACCAGAAGCATAAAACTATAATGTTTAATTTCATACACACA